ATCGCTCTTAGCTTCGCTGCATGCTATTCCAATGCTGTCTCTAAGTTGCTGTTGCGTTATAATTAATTGATAAAGTCCCCAGTTTTCCTGTCATCTTCCGCTGTTTTTTTCCTTCCGTCTTCCCCCTCTTTCCACCTCTTTCCTGCTGTCTGCTTCCTCTCTCTTCATTCCCCAATCAGCCCCGTCCTCCACACGTCTTCCATTATCCTCCCTCTCATCCCGTCTTCTACTCGCAGTGTTGTGCTGTTTCCTTACCTCATTAGAAATCCCCAGTAGGTTTTGGTTACAAGCAGAATATTTATTGTGATCAGTTCAGCCATGGGTTTCTGGGTCACGCAGTCAGGGGAAAGGGAGACTGATTAGCCCGATGATTGAGGCTTAACATGACTCTCATTTCATTACTAAATAACAAATTAGTGTGATTATATTGCTGTTCTAACTAATAAAATAGTGTCATGCATTATAGTATAGAACTAGCGAAAGCGACTTGCCTTACATATAGAATTTCAACTGAATTATTCTATGACGCTTAATTTAATGGCCGATTCATTGCGCATTGAATATTATTTATGATATAAAACTTAATCTGCACATACGGGCGTGAACTGCTACCTAGCAACAGCTGCTATAAGTGGGTGAAGACAGATGAGTGCATGGATGGACCGACACTGGACAAATTTAAGAATGGCAGAAGAGATTGGGTGCTTCCAATTGTAAAGAAACACTGATTATTTTGAAATGACTTCCTAGAGAGACAAGAATTTTAGCTGGAATGTATAATGTAAGATATTTCCAAGTTAGAAACACGTGTCTTGTGGTAGTTCTCAGCAATGAACTCCACTTTAATCTATTCTTTATTGAAATGTCAGAATGTGAGCCATTTATTTAGTCAGTTTTTGTTCTGTACAAGGGTGGTGATATATACTGTTTATACTGTCTGACTTTCTACCGACTTCACAATAGTTCACTGAGAGAGATCTTTTAATCATGATAGATATGTCAGTATGTCAGTCGGAACTTTAAACTACATTATTGACCTTTGAAACAACAGCTGACAAAATGGTCTCAAGGCAGTATAGTAGGTGTTTTGGACTTTTAAACATACCACATAGTCTTCACCTGCTGATATCATTGAATTGTATATAAAATGTCCATTGTTTATGAGCACCATAAGGACTTCCCGTCCTGCCCTGAAGTACATGCTGTGAGCAAAACTTTTTTTCTTCTTTTCACTTTCTTGTCCATGCTGCTTTAAAAGTTTTTCTGTGGGTTTTAAAAATTGTACAAAAACTTGACTTCACTTAGCATAAGTCAACTAAGAACTCTCTGAGCATGCAAATCATCACAAAGTTGTTTTTATTGATGAAACATCTATATTGATTAAGTAAAACAAACAAGCTGTATACATACTGGTGAGAGTGCAAATAACTATAAATAATTGTTGAAATTGTTACAGATGGCATGTTAAACCCAAACCCAGCAAGTTCCCCTGTGGCATTCATCATTACTTGCAGTGTTCATCAGATGACTGACAGGTGACAGAGGTTAAGCACAGCAAATTTGATTGACACAAATGGAAAGAAACACTTGTCTTCCCCAGGGGATAAGTGTGTGTCATGATTGCCAAGTGATGCAATTAAAGAATTCCTGGAGGAGGACTTAACTGCTGTGCTGGAAACCTTTTATAGGAACTGCTTCAGGAGCAGCACCTTGAAGTAATTGGCAGATTAGAAATGGCTCATGTTAATGTCATGGATGTCTTTCAGCATGCCTCTTTTACCAAAAAAAATGAAAAAGAGAGCCCAAATTTCAGTGGGCACCATTGACAAACCTGAGGGTTGTGTAAGTCTAATTAAAGATACAGTAAGTCTAAGAGATGCACCTTCATTCCCATAACAATTGGTTGTAGTTTACTGTTCCTCACTGTAACTTTCCTTCCTCACTTTTTGTTTGTATGGAGAAAGAGAAAACCGAAGTGCTTGAGATGTTTAATATTAATATCAGAGCTACCTAAACTCTTGAGGACTGATGGGGCCTTGATAATGGTAAATCTTCTGGTTCTGCAGAGGCATTGTTGATAATTGAACTCAACTGCCAAATATACACTCCTTCCTTCAGTGTTCCTGCAGAATCTCCACCCCCCAAATTTCTAGTTTGAGGAAACTGGAGAAAGAAGCAGCGTATTGGCTGGCAAAAACATGCTTAAAACAAAATGTACTTAAAGGCAGGGTAGGTAAGTTTGAGAAACTAGCAAGAAACTGCTGGAGAGAAACTCCCACCACTTCCCTTCAGGGCTCCTTCCAAAGCCACGCCTCCAAAACATGTGTGAACACGCATTGCCGACTCAGCGGGTCAGCTGGAGCACGAGCCAAGTGTGACGAGCGGAGAGGAGCACAGTGCAGCGGCTCACACAGTTAGCTAGCTAACTGTTAGCTGTGGTAACAGCTGTTGTAACATTGGGCAAAGCCAAAAACGGGTTGATACACATTTTCCTGTTACCATCAGTTACACTACACAAACATGAATTTTGTGTTAGACTCATAACATGTATGTTGTTTTGCATGTTAGAGCGTCTATGGTCACAGAATTATTGTCTCTGATGAGGACTGTACTCCAGAGCCAAGCACAGACCAAGACAGGACCGGGGTCAAGGCGAAGCAGAGGAGGGCTGGCAGCCAGGGACTGAGAGGCGGGACAGGGAGACCGAAGTGCAAACTAAGGAGCCAATATTCCCAGACAAGAGGACCTGCATCGAGGTTCACGCTCCAACAACGGCATATGAACAGGTGTGTATATATATTATATATATTTTTTCTCCCAGTGTAATTGTCTCAAAGTTTCTCTGGTGGTTCAGTCAAGTTTCCCCTTAAAATCTTTGGATGTCAAAATTAAAGTGATAAATGTGTGGCCAGGCCAGAAATGATGGGGCCAAACACACAATAAATTTTATGGGTTTTTATTCCCCGACTGGACTCCAATGAGAACAGCATTAATAATGTAAAGTCGAGGGATTAAGGCAGTTGGTGGTTATACAAAACACAGGAATAACTTTCTTACTTGTCCCTTGCCTATTGCATCTGATCTCAACTATGTGACTTAACAGTACTCTATAGTACCCCTTAACCATACCACAATATGTAAACAGCTGCCATAAACTAGTTCACACTCACTCTGGTAGACTCCAGTTATTTCTTTCTAGACAGGAACCTAAATTCTCAACAACCAAAGCTGTAAAACAGCCAAAATCTGTACAACATCAAAATCTAGACATCTAGGTTAGATAACACCACTCTAGACTAGACAACAGTAGTGGCCTTTCTAAACAGAGAAAAATAAAAAACAAATATAAATAAATACATTCACTTAGCCACATAATGCATTGAGTGCATAAAGGTGAAATATTTAAATTTACCATAAAACATAAAATACATTCATACACAGAATACAATTTGCCCAACACTTTGTACAGAAACTCAGAATTAACATTTTATGAATGAAATCAGTAACTCACTGTTCTACTGTGCAGTGTGCGTAGGACACGCCGACACACACACACAGAAGGTCTCGGGTTACGTATGTAACCCTGGTTCCCCGAGAAGGGGAACAAGACACTGCGTTGGTTACGACACTATGGGAACGCCTCTAGGCGTAGCAGGTCTGAACGTGAATGAAATCACTCCAATCCTATTGGCTTGTTACTAGAACGGTAAGGTGTGACGGAATAACCGGAGGAGAATAAAGCACACCTGTACACACTCATCAATAGCTTAAACTATGAAGCAGGCGCTTCAGGCGGGGAGAGAGGTGCGGCGGGCCGATGCAGTGTCTCGTTCCCCTTCTCGGGGAACCAGGGTTACAGACGTAACCCGAGACGTTCCCCTTCGAGGGAACTCGAACTGCGTCGGTTACGACACTATGGGAACGAGATACCCACTAAACCGTGCCGAAAACCCCGCCTGCCCCAGTGTGCAATAAAGTGGCACGACTAAGAGGAGAGCGTGGCCCAGCCAGCCGCTAAACAAACATCCTGCAAAGAGGCCCCGGAAAGGAGGGCTCGAGAGGCCGCCATGCCTCTGGTAGAATGATCCCTCACAGCCACAGGTGAAGGCAAACCGCGCACCTGATAGAACCCCCAGAACTCCAGAACCCCTGGGAGCAGAGCCACTGGGGGAAAAGCGTACAGACGTAGTCTCGGCCACGAATGTACCATGGCGTCTAGACCCAATGGGGCTGGAGGAACGAGAGAAAACCATAGCGGGCAGAGCGTAGTCTCTTGAGACGCAAACAGATCCACGTCTATGGGGCCGAACTCTCCGCACAAGAGCTCCACCACTTCGGGGTGAAGTCTCCATTCCCCGGGCCTCAGCCCCTGCCTCGACAGCAGGTCTGCTCCCTGATTCTGCGTCCCCGGGATATACATCGCCCTGAGCGATAGTAACCTCTGCTGGGACCACAGGAGGATCTGACGCGCCAGTCTGTACAGAGGCCAATATTGTGTCCACGCGTGCCGAAGACAATTGTGCCCGCATCGCATCCATACACTTGGTGAATGAGAGAAAGACTCCCCTACCCTGGTCTTCCCTAGCTCCGTCGGGACTGGATGACGGTCCTCAGATCGCGTCTCTCAGAAGGCTGAGGGTGAGAGCGCCGTATCGCTGCCCAAGCTCCTCGGGGGGGCCCCTGAGAAGCGACACTCAGCTTCCTCTCCTCTCCATAGGAGCTCGTAGAGGGAAGGGACCTACGCCTGGCAGCCTCAGCTGCCTTGGGTCCAGACCGGCGAGGGAGGTACTGGCGGAACGCTTCGCCCTGCGTCTAGCGCTCCATGGTTCTGCGAAGCTCCGCCAGATCTTCCTCAGAGAGACCCCCCCTCTGAACCATCTCCTGTAGCAGGTCGGCTTGGTAGGCTTTTATTATTTAATCATTTTATTGAATATTTGTGAATTTTATCTCATTGAGTTATTTTTATTTATTTTTGCTATTTTTTTTTTCCTGTGGAAAAACTTAGCTGCACACTACCCCTTTTGTACCTCCTAAGCTTCCGTAGTGCTCGTCTCCCTCAGTTGCGTCTTGCACCGCTGAGGGTAAGTTGTGTGGAAAAGTGCTGCTGGGTTTATGAATTGTTTTCTTTGGAAATTGAACCATTTACGTTAGAACTTTAAACACAAATTGTGCAATTTCAATATGGTTATGTTGTTATTATACGTAGCAGTTTTGTATTAGTGTGACCGTTAAAATACGTTTTATCAGTATTTTCATTTTAACTTTCTGGCGCCAGTTTTACCACGGCAGGCGGGCCGTGTCATGTTACCTATGTAACTTGTCGGAGTTTTCAGCGTCTTGTCACTTGAGTAAACGCTGTATTTTTGTATGTTTAGGAAGCAGAGGTAATGTAAGAGGAGGCCAGGGGGCAATTGATGTGTGCATTGTGTTCTGCAGATGTGCGAGCCAATAAATCGTGGAAAAGAAGTGATCTCAAGAGTCATCCTTCACACACCCGACCACACCCGTTACACAAGCTCGCACCTGCCTGGCCCGCTGCCATGTATGCCTTCCCCACGAGCGTAGATGTGGTGTGACATGGCTTGGAGGGTAACGCCGGCTTCTCCAGGGAGGACACAAGTCGAGGGGAGAGATAGCTCGCAAGCGCATCCTCCACCCGATGCATCCTCCCATAACCATGGTCCCTAACCCCCATCACATTACTGTAGTTCAGTGATAGGGGTGTAGAAAGACGTGTAGAGAAGGGTCTGCCCCATGATTACTCAGTTCATCATGTAGATCAGGAAAGAATGGCAGAGACCGGCATTGAGGTGCGTGGTGCTTAAGAAACCTTTCATCAAGCTTACCACTAGCCTGTGGTGTCTGCGCCTCCTGTGGCCAGTTGTTGTTGAGCTTAGCCACGGCTCTAGTCACCACCTCCAGCAGCACGTCATAGTCGGGTGCCGCTGAATCCAAACCGCGAGCGGGAGAAGCCGAGAACGGGCTCCCGAACAAGGAAAGGAAGCGTCGGAGCCAGCGGATGAAGGTCGGGAAAAAGCCTCAGCCGTCCCGAAATCCTCTGACAGATCACGCTGTGAACCCCATGAGTGAAGCCGCCGGGCTGCCTCAGCGGCCGCAGGGTCCGCGCCACGGGGAGAACACATCCGGCCATCCTCGGAAAAGAGAGCCATGCTGTACCTCAGTACCCGCACGAAAAGGGCTTCGAAACGGGCGCAGGCAGCCCCCTCGAGAGCTGCCCGGGCGTGCTCCATCCCCAAACATGAGACACACATCTCATGAGAATCTCCACCCGTGATGTACCGAGGGCAAGAAAAAACACACCTTCTGTACATCTGGTTGCCGGACATGCTGGTAGACTTCTTCTTCAGGTAAGACACACTGCTTGTAGGACTGGCGCTTCCTTCAAACAACATACAGAGCGCCTGCTGAATAGAAAAAAGCTAATGATGAGTGTGTACAGGTGTGCTTTATACTCCTCCGGTTATTCCGTCACACCTTACCGTTCTAGCAACAAGCCAATAGGATTGGAGTGATTTCATTCACGTTCAGACCTGCTACGCCTAGAGGCATTCCCATAGTGTCGTAACCGACGCAGTTCGAGTTCCCTCGAAGGGGAACTCCACACGTGTATCTCCCCTCTAAGTCAGCGGAAAAATAGGAAACAAACATCGTTTATTTACAGCTTCAGTATACACCAATATAATGTGATTTTGTTTGTTAATACACTTCATTGTCACTCACGCTGTCGCCGCTGCTCAGAGTCTCTTCCCCTCGTGACGAAGATACACACACACACACACACACACTCACACTCACTCACTCACTCACTCACTCACTCACTCACTCGGCTATCAATCATCAGGAATCAGCCAGGACACCCGGGTCTTCTTGCATCTACCTTGGTCCGCTAGTTAGTTAACTCTTTCGTATGCCGATCTTAAGGATTATTACTGTACTTTACCATGAGTTATGGAGATATCCTCCGTATCGATAAACCAAAGTACATCCCTTGCCGTTTCTCTACATCGCGGGACCAAACACTTCCATTTTTCCCCGTGTCCCGTCGGAAACTCTACCCTCTCGCGCGAGCCGTCCCATGTAGAACTCTTAAAGCGACAGTGCCATTAAATAAAGAGGACAGTTAACGCTGCAGTAATCTCACCAGCAACTACATAACATTATAACCCACATAACACTATTTAACTCTGTACCCCTGCTTCACATGGCTACATATGAATGTTATCAATCACTGTTATTACTTTTTTAATTATTGTTTACTGATTACACCACCAACTACAGCTCTGCTTTAGCCATTGGTTCATCTGTATTCTGTACGTTTACCTGGTGTGTAATATGGACACAGAAGTCCTGTTAGAGATCAACATGCCCCTGTTCAATAAAATTATCTGATAATGTTGATGAATGTTCTGTCTGATTTCACCAGTCTGTCCAATGTGGAGTTCTAACAACTAGAATATATTCCTTTACAGGCCAGGACAACATCCAGACTACTTTAAAATTTTATTGATCACTTTTAAAGCTCTTCATTGCATCTCACTTGTTATATTTCTGAGCTTTTAGTCCCATACACACCAGCATGTACCTTGAGATCCTCAGGCAGAGGTCTATTGTCTGTTCCAGAGTCTCGACTGAAAACTAAAGGGGACAGAGCGTTTGCTGTCAGGGCCCCGAAGCTCTGGAACAGCCTGCCCGAGGAAATCAGGTCGGCTGAGTCAGTGAACTCTTAAGTCCCTTCTTAAAACATACTTTTATAGGAGAGCCTTTCGTGATTTTATTTGACTTTATTTTATCCCTTTTATTTTATTCTATTTTACTTATTTTATGTTTATCTTAAACATTTATTTTAGTCTTTTCAATGTTTTCTTGCTTTTATTTAGTATTGTTTTTGTATTATTGTCTTTTGGGTATTATTGTCTTTACACTTGTTAAAGCATTTTGTAACATGTTTTTGAAAAGTGCTCTACAAATAATAATTATTATTATTATTATTACTGTGTTTCCATGCAGCACACATGGCTGATCTTCCAGACCCATGACAGAGTAACAGTTTAGTCACGCAACATACAGACAGTTTGTAGTGTGGCAATATGGAGCACTTGGTCACAGAGTTCTGATACAGAGTTGCTGTCTGTAAGAAATGTGACCGTTCTTCTGATCCACTAGGACAATACAGAGGTTTTATCCCTAGCCGGCTGTAAGATGTAATGTCACTAACTGCTATACAAAGAATTTCATCCACTGTGTGGATAAATACCTGTACTTAGTTTTTGGACGGTAGAGAAAATACATTACAGTATATTTTCCCTGTTCTGGATAATATATTTATTCTTTTTTAAATAAAACATTGAAAATGATAACTTGCAGCATAAACAATCAAGCAAATACATTTATGTCTTATGTCTCCAATAATGACATCCAAATGTGGTATAACACTTGTTTGTTCTTTATTATTATACTACTAAAACTACAACCTATATCACAAATAGATAACTTATAAACATCATTGTTAAAAATAAGTATATAAAGAATGAAAGACAAGTTGTGTCCAGAGGTATCTTGACTGATTATAAAGACAGGTCAGACTTTACACATAGCATCGTATCGCTGCTGTGGAGATGATTTAGTATTACAATCATCTCTCTGACATGACTACCACATTTCAAAACCAACTACATTACTTTTTGTTATCACCTTGCTGTACCTAGCAATACAGTTTGGGCAGGGGCACCTGAACACCATGTTGACAGGGAGGAGGGTGGCAATCTGGAGGTCTGCGATGTAACTGTAGTCCTTCTCCACCTTCAATGAGTAGAAGCTCCACTTCCTAGACTTTTTCTTGTAGACCTTGACATATCTGGTAATACAGAAAGGAGGATCAGCTTAGTGAAAAGTTTGCAATACCTGACATTGTTCTCTTATACAGTAGTTGCAATCAAAATAATAAATCAGCACCATCTATGCGTATTCCTCATACTGTTCAATATTTTGACTCGTCATTTATAAATGCATTGAGTAAAATGCATAGGAGTACTAATAATGCAACATACTGAACTATGTCATCAGCTTTTCTCCTGGTTGGTCTGTGGACATGGTGGTTGTAATCCAGGCCAGCCAGCTTGGTCCAATCAGCACATACCGGTGAGAAGTACAGGGTTATGGAAGACTCCAAATCTGCAGTTGACCTTAGGGCACAAAGAAAGAAGAAGAAATAAAACATACAGTATTTTTACCTTCTGGTTATATAATTCATGGCATAGCAAAACCATTTACATTATTACAGTATTTTCGCACAGTGGGTTTATCTATATACAATGTCAAATTATATAATAAGTAGCTTCTATACTAGAAACAGAGATACTTATGGATCTTTAGCCAGTGTTATTTATGTACACTAATGTTGATGTGTCCTCCTCATAACTACAAAAACACACAAATAAGCTGCATTACCACATTTCTATAGTGTCTTGTTCAAAGATATAACAGAGTAACATACAGTCAAACACAAGATAGACAGAAGAAGAAGAAGACACAAGATAATATTAAACGCACACACAGATTAGAAACAAGGTAAAGATAGAAGTTGGAAACAGGTTGACCAGATAACAATAAACTAAATGTGAATAAATAATCTGGTGCAGGTAACGCTGAACATATAAACACATCTTAGACAAATGGTAACGCTAGGTATAAGCAGAAACGTTTTACATAAGTTATAAATAGCTCTCCAGCACAGTCTTCACCTACATTGTCTTACCTAATGTTAGCGTTGGTTAACTTCTGCAAGACAGTGGAGCTGCTGTTTTACAACTCATCTGCTGCTACTGATAATTCATCATCTCTACAATGGCTCGCTACACCAGCATACACCTACACTGTCATAAGCTGTTTGCTAAGTTGGTACCTACGTTGGCTAGCGATTTATACTTTATGAAAGTGACAAATTACCATCAAAACGAAAAATGCCAGATTACCTGTCAGCACAAATAAAGCATGGTTTCCCTTTTCAGTCCCTTGGGGTCCCCCAGTTGTCTGCATCGTTGAAAAGCCACGCCGATGTTTGCTCCGGTCTGACCTCTCCTAGCTTTGCATCGTCAGCCAGGTCTGAGTGACCGTGTGCGCACATGTAGGCAAGGTCCTGTAGCAGCAGGGCTGGTAGCCATGGTAGTGAGGTTGAGTGACAGTCACTTCCATTGGTCCGAATGGAACTAGTGTCTGCGTTTATTGCAGCCCTGTGAGGACTACACACACTACATCTTTTAAATATCTTTTTCAGAGCACCAAACATTTTAATATATATTGGTATATAACGACAGTTTTAACAAATATGGCAAAGACTGTCACAAGGTAGCCATGCCCAGAGATACACTTAGCGACTGAGACCATAAACTCATTAGCAAAATATTTACTGAGATAATAAATCAAGCGAGAAGTAACATTGTATTGTCATTG